CTGGGGAGGGCAGCGCCCCGGGGACGAGAGCCAGAGGCTGGGACAGAGAAGGGGAGGAATGCGATGCGCCATCGACGGAGCGGCTGGGGACCGTAGGAGGGGACTCGGGCGCGTGGGGCGATGTCTGCGGGAAATGGCGCTAAGTGGGTGTGATCCTGAGATACACGGAAAAGTGGGCGAGGCACGTAAGAAAGTACATCGGAAAAGTGGGGGGCGGTGCGACAGGTTATGTATTTAGGAGTCAGATAATAGGTAGGACACAGAATGGTATTGGGGGGACCGTGGGCTATCTTTTGGGGGAGCAGAGTGGTATTTGGAGCAGGTAAGCACATGGTAAAAGTGTATGAGGTCGCGCCACTTTGGAGAACCGAGATAGATTAAAGGACAGAAATATCTGGGACCAGAGAGGTGTTCACAGCGGCGCACGGAATTTAGGGTGTCTGGCCTCCGCCGGAGGTGCTGGGTTGCGGTCTCGGCCAACGGAAGCAGCTACATCCGCGTTAGGGACACAATTCCTAGCCCAGACGAATACAGATTGAAAAATTAACTTTACACACACCGGTGCGGCGGGAAGCCTGGGACAACAGCTCTCCACCCGGTCGGCGCGGCTTTGTGCGGCGCCCGGCGGGACGTCAGCGCCCGGCGCGGTGGGAGGGGCGGGGAAGCCCTCCACCCGCCCGCGAGAGAACGCGCGGGTATCTAGGTGGGCGGCCTCCAAACTTCAACCCTGGAGTTGCCAGGCAACCGCCTTTAGTTCAGTTGCTGGGATACGCGTTACCATGGCGACAGCTCCGCGCCGTGCAGTCGGAGTATTTAAAGAGCAAGCGCGCACAACGCCGGCGTCAGAAAGCGGCCTTCCGGGATACCAGTGTCGTCCCTTCGGCCTTCTCCCTCTCCCCCCACCTCCCCTTCCCATCCCCTTCCCCCTCTTCCGGCCGCCAAGTCCCTCTGGCCTCCCAGGTGAACTCAACTTCCCAGAGCGCTCCGGGTCCTTGGGCTGGTCCGGCTTTAAGCGGTGGGGAGCGGGATCCCGGGCCCCGGGCGGGCGGGAGGGACGGGACGCGGTGCAGTGTTGTTCTTTCCCCCGCCAATATTGCACTCGTCCCGGCCTCCGGCCCTCCCGGCCCCCCGGCCCCTCGCTCACCCCGAGCGGGGCAGCCCCAGCCCTCCTGGCTCTCGATCCTGACCGATCTATTGACTGGAGTGTCGCTGCTGCCATCGTAAGTAAGTGGGGCTGGGAGAACTTTAACCACCCTCTGACCAGCACCTCATCCTTCACCTACCCCAGCCCCATCCTTCCCCTAACCCTCACCCAGCACCTGCCTCACCGTGCCCCAAGCTCAGCCAAACTTCCTCTAACTTCCATCCTACCAGCCCGCTCTTACCCTTCTCGGGATCCTTTTTCATTGGTCACTACCCCGGAAAATCCCTAAAATAAGCAACTGCACTGGCTTAGAAAACAACTGGAACTTTATGGTAATATGCTCTTATCTTTCCTGGGGTTAGCGCCTGAGAAATGCCCCTTGAAAACTTCCCATCTCAACAGTCACCACTCCTCTGGGGCTGAACTCCTGATGGTGCCAGAGGGTGTGCGTTTGGCTGAGGGGCTGTAGATTAGACCCGGGGGCCACCCGGATGGATCCCAAGGCCAAAGGGTCTAAAATCAGGATTTTGAATCTGGTAGCCACCTCTTCACACTCTTCCAAGGAGCAGCTGCCTCCGGAATGGCTCAAAGTCCTCGGGAACTGTGTCTGAGGAAGGAGAAACCATTAAAGTCAAGGATGTGACTCTCCCATGAGGGCATGAGAGGTCAGGCTGATAGGGGTAGAGAGCCTCACCATTGCATCGGTACTGGAGATTGGACCAAATGATGTTTTCTTGGGAGAAGCAGAATACACCAAGACGCCCCCCTCGCATGGATGTGTCAATGATCACCCCAGAATCCGCCACTAGCTGGGGACCCTCATAGAGCTTCACTCTGTCCAGGATAGGGGTTTCCGTTGGTGCCAGGGTACCAGTGGGCACTGTGCCACTATGCTGGGGCCCTGCTCATCCCCAACCCCCCTTAGCTTAGCTCACCAGGCCTGAGAGAAGGAAGGGAAGGGGAGGGAAGGGGGTGCTTTTCTCAGGCCTGGGGCCCCTGGCTCTTTGTCCAGCCCCCTTTGCATCTCAAAGCACCAGCCGCATTCCAAGCGAGGATTGGGTTGCCATGACGATGAACACAATGGGCTGGGGGGTGAAGTCACCCGCTTCCCAGGCTCTGGTCCACCCCTCCCTTATCCCTTGCCCTGGCGCCCCACAGCCCCAGGAACCTTAAAGGGAAACCAACCCCAGTGTCTGGACTCTGGGCTCTTGGCCATTTCCTCTCCCTTCCCTGTCATCCCCACCAACTAGGAAATGCAAAGTCGTGGACAAAGTGCTGAACTAAGAGGCCTCAGCCCTGCTCTGAAGAGCTGTGAAGTCTGGGTCTTGGTTTGCACGTCTGTCAATGATGGTCCCTTCCAGGTCAGACCCCTTGAGGAGGCAGCTTCTGGGCTGTCCCACCCAGTGAAAGGGCTGGGTATGATGTCCCTCTCCGCAGACTGGCCTGGGCTTTGGAGGCTCCCAGAGTTGCCCTTGTTTTACTGAGTGGAAATGGAGCACAGAAGAGGAAGGACTTGGCCAACATTGCCAATATGTCACCAGCACTAGAGCCCAGGCCGCCTGATGCTAGGAAGAAAGCAGGGCTGAGGCAGCGTGTCTGTGGTGAAAGAGGATGGAGAGAAGTGGTCCCAGTCTGGGCCCATGGCACCAAGGCACTGAGTAGAGGGGTCACTGGTGAGTCCCAGCTAAAAGGGAAGGAAAGGCTGAGCCTGGGGTCCCTCAGGAGGCAGCCTGTCCCCTCACCGAATGTAGCCAACTTGAGGCCGGTGCAGCAGCTGCCAGCGGTAGGAGGTCTTGTCGCGCCAGCCCACATTTCGTGGGTCAGTCCACAGCAGTCGTACCTGATCAGGGGTGTGGCCAGTATGCCACAAGGCATTCCGGAGGTGCTCACCTGGGCCAGACACTGATGTCACTGCCTGAAGGGCATTGGCAAAGACAGTGGGTCAACCACAGGAACCAAATGAGGGCAGAGACAACAGGTTGGTAAGTACAGGTGGGAAAGGAAGTCCAGGTGGTCAGGAGAATGTTCTGAAGCCCCGGGAGCCAACCTCCAGACCCAGTGTCTGAGTAAGAGGGTTCCCACTCAGGTAGGGGGAGAGGTTTTGGGAAAGGGTCCTGGATTGGGGAATCTGGGCAGCTGTGGGACCTTGAGCTGCAGCCCAGGCTGGGCAACAGCCCGGAAAGGTGTGGCCTGCCAGTAGGTCTGCTCCGTCTGCTTCCACATGACCACGTAGAAGCGGCCACTGTCCTGGTAGCTGAAGAGGAAGCCTGCGTAGTCATCATCGGTCACCGTGTTCACATGGAAGGTGCCTTCAAAGTCCACACCGTTGAAGGCGGTATATCCTAGGGGTGGGTGGGTGTGTGGGATCAAGATCAGGGCAGCAAAGCTACTAGTGGCCCATTGTGCACTGGGGGTGGGAAGGGATGCCTGCTGTATGTGTGGCCAGCTTGTCCCCACCCTCTGCCCCTGTCAGATTCCTCTATTTGGAAGGCATTGAACTGGGTATCCCTCACATACCAACTGCCAGGCCAGGGTCACTGTTCATGGTCTGAACGATTTCCATGCCCTGGTAATGGGCAATAAAGAAGAAAGACCTGATCCAGGTGCGCTACCCACCTAGGCCCTGCCCGGAAGTTTGGTCTGACCGCACCCACCCAGCCCACTGCCCTAGTACCTGGTTGAGCACGACCCAGTTTGGATCAATCTGAGCATCCCCTTCAGGGTCCAAGACGACGGTCTGATAGGCCCGAAAATCTGTGAGTGTTACCTCTGCACTTTCAGGGCACACATCCAGGGGGTCGACCACCGCATCATTGTCAAAGTCATCCTCACACACATCGCCAATGCCATTGCCTGGGAAGAGTGGGGCTAGGCACTCAGGAATGCCGTGGCCACTGCCACCAGCTAACACTACTACCCCTTGGGCCTTGCATTCTTTTCTTTCTTTCTTGTTTTAAATATATCTTTATTGATTTCAGAGAGGAAGGGAGAGAAGAGAGAGACAGAAACTTCAGTGATGAGAGAGACTCACTGATCGGCTGCCTCCTTCATGCCCCCCACTGGGGATCGAGCCAGCCCAGGCATGTGCCCTTGACCAGGATTGAACCTGGGACCTTTCAGTTCTCAGGCCGAAGCTCTATCCACTGAGCCAAACCAGCTAGGGTGGGTCTTGCATTCTTGACCTCTCTCTCCCCACCCTGCCCTTTCTAACTCCCCAGCAGGTCTGCCACCTCTCCATGAGCAAAGCCCACACCAGCCCAGTCCTCTGGGACCCCATCCTCACCATCCGAGTCCTTCTGATTGGGGTTGGGTACCAGGCGACAGTTATCAGGACCAGGAGGCACATAATCTGGGACACCATCATTGTCATCGTCCCCGTCACACTCATCTCCAAGCCCGTCATTGTCCGAGTCCAGCTGGGAACTATTGGGTAGCTGTGGGCAGTTGTCTTTGGTGTCCTGATGTCCATCTCCATCGCTGCCCAGGAGAACAGGCACCAGATAAAAGCTCTAAAGGTACCACATCCTTCCCTTGTCACCTGCTTAGGAGTCTCTCTGAGGTAAGAGGTGTACCCTCTGTTCAACCAGACCCCTTACAGTCAGCCAGGTGAGGTGAAGGTCCAGAAGTAGAAATGGAGGACAGACTACAGGAATAACTTCCTGTTCAGCAGTAGTGGAGGATTAGGGCTAAACCATAGAATTGAGAATATACTAGAGAGAAATTAAGTATCCCCTGGAAGATCTTTTATCTCTTGGCCAAAACCCTACCTGTCTTCATTGGTGTCACAGACATCCCCCACCAGGTCACTGTCTGCATCTGTCTGAGAGAGGGAACTGCTCTCACCATCTCCTCTTGATAACTGAAGAGGGTGACCTGACCACTTCCTATCACCCATCAGTCTGCCCACCCCTTCCCTGCCCTCTCCATTCCCTGTACCTGGGTAGGATTGCTCATTTCAGGGCAGCTGTCACAAGCATCTCCCACACCATCCTCATCCCTATCTGTCTGTAGGGGGTTGGGGACTTTCGGGCAATTGTCCAGTCCATTGGGGATGCCTAGAAGACATGGGGATGGCAAAAGGTTGTCACACTCTCCTAGGCTGGCGAAAGCCCTGAGCTTTGTCTCCCATCCAGAGGATAGCTATTCAGGAAATCTGCCTGTACCTTTCTCACCCTCTTGCCTGCTCTCTCCCTGCCTAACCCTATATACCCTACTTTACATTCCCATTGACATCTGCCGTAGGAAGTCACCCAGGCTAACTTTCATAAGAACACCCTCCCCCAATTCTCAGACTTCCTAGTCTCTCTGTTTCATTCCCACTGTCTCCAAATTCTTACAGGTCTCCCACCCCCTCAGCCCAGGCCTGCACCATCCCCATCCACGTCGTTGTCACAGGCATCCCCTTCCCCATTGCCATCTGTGTCCTTCTGGTCATTGTTGGGGACGTTGGGGCAGTTGTCACAGGCGTCACCAAATGAATCTGTATCTGAGTTTTGCTGGTCCTTGTTGGGGAACAGCCGGCAGTTGTCCTGGGTGGGAAGGAAAGAGTCAGGCCTCCCTCAAACCACTGGCTACCTAGCACCCACCATGTCCCTGTGCCCTTGTCTACGATCACCAACCCTGTGATGGTCCACCTGCTTGGTGCAGCCCCACCCACCCAACCTCTAGGTAGTCCACCTTGTCCTAGGCACCAGGCTAGGCCTCCCTCATTGGTAGTCCTAGAGCCCTTCCTGCAGAGCTGCCAGGGGCCAGAGGTAGGGGGAGCAGGGTTATAGGACCAGGCAACAGAGGCAGGGAGGAAAGTACAGGACTAGGAGGAACAGAATGTCTGGGAGCCACCTCAACGTTCTTGATCCCGTCCCCATCAGCATCATCATCGCACTGGTCCCCCACGCCATCATTATCAGCATCTTCCTGCCCAGAGTTAGGTGTCAAAAGGCAGTTGTCCTAAAGGTCAGGGAGGAGATGGATGGACGAGTTCTGGCCTGCCCCAGCCTGGGCGCCCACCCTGCTCACGCGCCCGCCGGCAGCTGCAGCTGCACCTGCTTGCAGTGCTTGTTGTTGTCCATGCAGGGCAGCGCCTGATCTGGGTAGCCATCGATGTCAGTGTCAGGCCCACACACGTTCCCGTTCCCGGCCCAGCCCACGTTACACTGGGACAACACAAAGGGTGGGAGTTAGCAGTCGGCCGGCTGCCCCAAGCCCACCCTTTCCCCTTCTTCAAGCTCTATTCTCATCACCCAGTTCCTGGGCCCAGGCCAACTTCCCTTCCCCATGGAGGTCCTCATCCCAATCCCTGAACATGTCCACTAGCCCTATCCCATCCCCGGATTCTGCCTTTCCCTTCTACGCCTCAGGCCCAGCTCACCGAGCAGGACACTGCACCATTGCGTTCAAAGAGGCAGTGCGCATGGACGTGGCAGGGGCTGTGGGCTGGGCTGTGGCAGGTCCGAGCCGGAAAGCAGCCCTGGCTTTGGTTGCCCAGGAAGCCCAGGCGACAGGGACCACACTTGAAAGAGCCCTAAGAGAAGGGAAACACAGTCTCAGGAAAGAGGGCCAGCCTACCAGGCACCCAGGACCAGCACTATGCCACCTGAGGGGTGTAGGACGGGCCCTCACTATATGTCAGGTCTATCAATGACCTCGGGTTCTCCTGACAACCTTTCTAGGTAGATAATAGCCCCACTTTTCAAGCAAGGAACGTGAGGCTCAGAAAAGGTACATAACTGGCTAAAGGTCACAGCTAGTAAGGGGCAAAACCGGGTCCATGAAGAACACCAACTATGTGTAGTGCCCTGGGGAAAGAGGAGGGGAAGCAGGAAGTCTGAAGAGGGGGTTGCACATTCCCACCACCCCAGGCACACTCAGGGTATTCAGCTCACCACTGTATTGGTGCAGATGGAGTTTGGGTCACAGCCACCATTGTTCCCATCATTGCATTCATCAACATCGTTGCAGACCTGAAGGGGCAGAGGTGGGGTAGAACCAGACCTGGGGTAGGTCTCCTCAGATACAGGAGAGGGCACTGGTGTGGCCTTATCTGTGAACACTGACAGGAAGCCCAGACCCAAAACCAATGCAAAGCCAGCAGATGAGTCAGTAGCCTCAGCCCATTTATCCCAAGAGCCCTATGGCCAACCCAGAACCCCCTGGCCCCTGCAAGGCCAAGCTCTCTTGTTCACACACTCTACCCCACCTGACCTGTTTGCTGGCTCGGGCATAGTCGATGCCCACACCCGACACCCGTGTGCCTTTGTAGCCCTGAGGACAGGCCTCGCAGTGGAAACCAGGCATGGTATTGATGCAGCTTGAGCCCGGGAAACAAGGGTCGGCATGAGCGCACTGGGGACCAGATGAGAAGGAAGAAGTCAGGCCCCTGCCCGTGATCCTGGGACCCCTGCTCCTGGTGTCCCATGTGCAGCCCTTCCCACCCAACATCATTGTGCTCTGAGCCCGGCGTCCAGCCTCCCTCTGGGCTCCCTGCCAACTAACCATCTCAAGCTCCCACTCCCCCAACACCTTCCCTGTGTGGTCCTTCAGTCTTTGCCTCAGGCCTTCTATCTTCCTTCTCACACTTCTTTTCTGGTCTCCAGCCTCTCCTAAACCTCAGGTAACTCTGCTTCAGACCAACATTTCCCCAACTTCTTGGGCCTCTTCTAACTTCCTCCCCCGGCTTTCTGTGCCCTTCCCCACCTCATTGATGTCAGTGCAGTGGGTGCCATTGCCCTGCAGGCCAGGGGGGCAGGGCCCGCAGCGGTAGCCAGGGTACTCGTACACTTCCATGCAGTCCACGCCTCGGAAGCAGGGATTGGGGCTGCAGTGGGAACGCTGCTCATGGAAGCCTGCAGGGAGGGCACAGAGCCACCCAGAGGTCACCGTTCACATCACCGGAACTGGAGGCCCACGCCATGGGCGGGCAGCGCCGTGATCCCCCGTGGAGCCCTCCCCTGCTCTCCCACTCACCGCACACCTGACACTCCATGATGGTGTTTCGGATCAGGGACATTTCCTTCACCTGGCAGACACAAGGATGGGGAAGAGTCAGCTCTCAGCATTTGCCACCCCACCTCAGAGTCTGCTCCCCTTTGCTGACCGGCTCCAACCTGGTCTCGGATATCATCCCGCAGCTCCACCAGGATCTGGTTGAAGAGGGTGAGTTGGGTGACCAGCGCCTTGGTTTGCTCCCCTGTCAGGGCCCAGGATACAGAGAGGCTCAGAACTGCGACGCCAGCCCTGGTCCCTCTTTGGGTCATAAGCCAGCTCCTGCGACTGCTACCCCCACCACCTTTAAATTCCACCCTATTCCTGACTGAAGAGGACTTAGTCTCAGGCAGCTGCCAAAGCCGGGCACCTCCTGCGCACGCACATGCCCTCCCACCGCATCACAGCCTACTCACCTAGGATGGAGTGAAGAGCGCTGGCCACTAGAGAGAAGAAAACACAATCAGAGGATGGAGTTGTAAAGAGGGGCCTGGCTGGTGAAGAGGAAGAAGGAAAAGGACGGAAACAAAGGGCTGGAGCCGTGGAATAAAGAGAGGGGGTGTTAGATGGTGGAGGTCAGAGGTGACAGGCAGCAACACCAGCTTTTTACACAGGTGAGGGGCCCTCTAAGGGAGTTGCCTCAGACAGTCAGAACCCAAATCTCTCCGATTCCCAGACATGGGAGTGGCAGAAGGGATCGAGGGAGGTAACCCAAAGCAGGGCCAGGGCCATAATATATGCCATCTCCTCCCTCCCAAGCTTCTCCCTCAAGAGCACTGCCTTTTGCAACATGACAGAAAAAGAATTCAGATTAAGGGTCCTAGAGTGCAGATACAGAGGCATGCAACATGACAGAAAAAGAATTAAGATTAAGAGCACTGCCTTTGAACTATGTGGAAGATGTGGGTGTTTTATTTAGGTAAGAGCCTCTGAACATCCCTGTCAGACCAGGCAGATGGACAGTGCTCAGAGAAACCGCTGGTCGGTGACGGCACCAATGGGAGCTAAAAATAGACCAAGACCCTTATCTCACTCAAAACCAAGACCGAGCAGTTAACATTCTATTCTTCTATGACCTGAACAGGGAGATTTTTTTGTCTTTTTATCAGAACAGGGAGCTTTTTTAACCCACACCTTTTGGTATGGCTTTATCATTTGGAAATCAGTCAGAGGTGAAGGAGATTTGGGGTAACAGCGCCAGAGCCCCATGAATAGGTGAACCAAGGAATGAATGTTAAGGGGAGGTCAAAAGGATGTGAGTCACCAAAGACGACAGAATGTGATCTGGGGTCCAGGGTGTCAGCTAACGGAAGTCACTGTGTTACCTGCACTGTGGATGGACTCGTCCCCCTGGAACGGACACTCACTCAAGGCTCCGACCCGGGCCATGGACCCGCCTAGAATCATCTTCATAGATTCCACGAAGCCCTGGGGGGAGAGGAGCAGAACCGGGTGGGAGGACCTACCAACTCCTCCCACTGGTGCAAACTGTTTCCACAGGAACTCCGGGGTCCTCCCCTCCTCCTCACCTGCATCCTCAAGTAAGCCTTCTGTCCAGTCCTAATCTCCAGCCCATTGACCTCCGCTGGAGGAATGGGGGCCAAGGCTGGGAGACCAGCATGCTGATCGCCTAGTTTGCAGTCCACATAGAGCTGCAGAGCAGGGCTGGGGCGGGATGGGCCTCGGAGTCGCAGGAGAGCTGTGTGTGTGCGCCCGTCGGCCAGGCCTGCTTGCTGTAGGTTCACTGCATGGACTTTGCCATCCTCCCGCTGGTACCGCACCAGCACTGCCCAGGACGGGAGGTCAGTATGGGCACTGTCCCCCATCCCCTGTCTCCCAATTGAGCCTTGGATCAACTCTTCAGGATGCCACATCTCTAGTCTCTATGATCCCTTACTCAGCTATGCATCTGTCAACACCTTGTATGTATTTTTTTTAAAATTGGTTCAAAGACTAGGAGTTTCTTAGTCTTCAGTGGCATCAGATCACTCTATCCCCTGAAAGGTGACAGCTGGTTCTGTACCCACTAAACTACCCCAAGAATGTGAGGGACCTCTCCATACCCCTGCTGCAGGAATGTCATGCCTTCCCCCTCCCCACAAGCATCCCGAGTACAACATTCCATCCCGACAAAGACCAGCCCTTACCCTGTTGTTTGGGTACCTGGCCTTCTGGGGTACCTCCTAAGTACCCCATACCAGGTGGCCCTGGTGCCTGGGCACGGCCTGATAGTCCAAGGTCCCCAGTGGGACCCAAGTAAAATTAAGAGGGCTATGGGAGTGGGGGTCAGGGAGAGTGCTCAGGGGGTCGCTGCTGCAGGAAAGGAGATGCCCACCAGTCACCTTTGTTTATCTTGCCCACAACAGAGGCCTCCAGCCATCGTGTGTTGTCTTGGCGAGAGTAGAGGCCAAAGAGGACACCGCCCTGTTTAGGAGGCAGGCGGAAGGTGGACAGGAGGTAGATGTCCCCAGCAGTGAGCAGGGCTGTCCGGATCTTCTCCGCCACAGCGACCATCTGCCGGGACTCGCCCACAGTCAGCAGGTCGATCACTGGCCAGGCAGGGATGATCAAGGTCAGAGAATGGGGTTAGATGCTGCATCCTGCCCAAGTCCCTGAGCCCTCAGGGGTGGGACATCCTCCATCACTCCGCCTACCCTCCCCACCCCAGACAGTGTTAGTCACCTCAAAATGCAACCCTTGCTGCTATCAGAGGACAAGATGTTATTCCTCCCTTCCCTCCAACACTGCCTACGGCCCCTCTCTGGGAATCCACAGGCCTGAGGCTCATTTGGAAACACAGAAAGTGTCCCACAAATCTGAGACCTCTCCACCAGGTGGCGCAAGGGAGTCGCTGCTGATTCCGGGCAGGAGCAGCACCTGGTGCCCACAGCACAGAAACTGGAAGGCAGTTTCTCTTACACAGCGGGCTCTGGCTCACTCCGCACCCCAGTGCCCCTCCTCCCACCCCGGGGGCTCAGCACACTCGCTCCGGATGAGAACAGCTGCCCACTGAGGGATCTGACCCTCCCACGGTCTGGCTCTCTCCCTGGAGAATGCAGGACCCAGCTCCTTTGCCTCCTGTGTTCTGGCCAATCTGTGGTTTCCCTCCCAGCCAGCGAAGAATCTGTGCCTGTGTCATCTGCCTCAGCTACCTCTCCCACACCCACAGGCCCACCCCACCCCAGACCTCCGGGGGAGCCCAGACCTCTGGGTCCCCACCCCCACCCTGTCCTGGGGCAGCCGGCCGCCTAGGGGACTAAGAAGCCTAGGGGACCACCGAGCACCCACCTTCACGCTGCTCTCCTAGAACCTGGGGTGCCTGGGGATGCTCAGACACCAATCCAGCCAGGCAGCCCTAGCATCCTGCTCCCGAGTCCCCTGCCCTGGCTTCGTGCTGCCTCTGGCTAGTTCCCACTCACCTACCACCCTCTGGTGTCCACTCCTTCCCACGGGGCCAAAACGCACCATGTCTGCGCCCTGGCTCCATTTCAGGGCTCTCCCCTTCTCCCCTGGCCCACATGTTCCCTGCTGCTACGCTGAGGGCAAACGGGGAGGCGGCGGAAGGCCGAAGAGGATGGAGACAGGCTTACCCTGCAGGTCCTGACCGGCAGATGCCAGAGTGCAAAGGAGCAGAAGAGCCAGGGCCCCCCGAAGTTCCTGTGTCTCCATGCCGCTCGGCCGGCTCGCTATCCCTGGCGGGCCGGCGGCTGGGAGGGGAAAAGGCTAGGCGGAGGGAGCAG